GGTAATTGTAGTCAAAAGACGCTATCATGCAAATCTCTATCGGCCTTCGTGCTGGTTGCTCTATTTTGCTTTCTGCTACACCGTGCTGACGAGTCGCAGACCCAACCAGGTCGAAACAGCTCTCCACGGTTGCATCTTGGCTTTCAGTGTGGACCCTCTCTCCTGTTGTTGTTGTGGTCAGGTTTCGAGCTTCTACGTAGTATCAGCTTTGCTTAGTTGTGATTCTCTTTACCTCAGGCAACGCCTTACCCGGTTGGTAGAGCTTGCCGTGTCCCGCGAGAAAAATAAATGTTGTTCTTTATGTGTAAATAAAATCCTTCAAGTTTGTTCGATCAAGATGGCCTTATTCGTTTTTTGCTTGCAAGGAAAAAGAACTTGGCCAATGTATATTTAGCCATCTAGCCACACTGTTGGTTGACAAGCCAAGTTTGACTTTAAGCGATGAGATAAGCAGGCTCGCCGAAAATTTAATTTGTAGGCTTCAGTCTCGAGGCAAAAACAGGATAACTCAAGGAAACCGTGAAAAAACCGTTATTTATATATTAGGTCCGGCTGAATAATGGAATTTCTGGTCATTTAGTTTGAATTCCAGTGATTCATTTGCCAAGTCTTAATCTAGAATATTTTCGATATATTTGTCACAACCACTAACCAGTGAGACAGAAAATAGAATCCTCACTAATATGAATTTTATTAGCATTTAGCAATTAGCAAGAAGAGTCTTAGTCTGACACGTTAGATGTTAATTGGCCGGGGAAATGTTTCCTTTCTCCTGCTATTTTATCTATATATCTTCTCTTTGTCTGTTATTATTTGTTATCTACAATATAGCAAATTCCTTCAAAATTATTTGAGTTAGATTAGTAGCGTTTCGACAGTTCCCTGTCTTGGTAAATGTGCATTATATTTCAAAATCAAACTCTAATCCACTTCCTTTCAATTTGTCCAACACTTCTTTCTCAAATCGCTCATTCAGCTCTGGAGTGAAGTAATTCTTCCAGTCTCCGACCACGCCCTTCCGAAGCATCGAAGACTCCCCATCTTTGGTTGGTATTGAGTAACTTGCAGCATTTTTTTTCATTCCACTGAATGTGCACTGCTCAGCTATGCGACGGATGAGATCATCTGACAGCGGCTGGTCTAGGAAGTTGGCGATCATTCGGACATGGGAAAGAAGATCCTAGAGGAGAGAAAATAATTACATTTCCATTCTGCGCCAGTTCGTTAAAGGACATTTTACTCAATTCGTTTTACGTGATGGCGAAATGATATGAATTTTGTCGCTTGAATGGGAAGAACATTACCCTGTATCGACCCAAGCTACCAAACATGAGGGTGACTCCATTATTCCAAGGTGCTATTAAATAGCAATATTAAAACATTTAATAAGGTTTGATTTTTTGGGCGTTTTGTTCACTCTTTTCTTAAAATGTAAGGCAGGGTGGCTCCGAGGATGGTTGACTCTTGGAAAACACCAACAGTCGCATTTGAACACTAGTATGGGATATGTAACAGCATTAAAATACAGGTAGCACAGGCCAACAGCTCGAAACACGCACAAGCTAGAGGAAAACGCAAAAGGCGTGCCCAAATGCATTTTCCCACTGCCCCAAGAGTCTGGAGCGGACCAAAATACAGGTCTTACTTCTAGTCAACAAACCTTTTGCAAATCTTCGTATTTAAGAAACAAGACATTTGGATCATCTTTGTGCTTCCACCAGTCTAGAACATGGTCATTCCAGTGGCTCCAAACCACTTCATGTAACAAAGAGATCAGTTCAGAACCAGTCATAAAAGTTTAAAATAAAAGTTCTCAGGATAATTGACATTTCAAAACATCAATACAGTTATCTTCATAATGCCAGTTCCTGGAAAATTTCAGAAGGAGGGAGACTGGAGCGAGCAAGTTTGGGGGTGGGGGCAAAAGAATGCAAGTTAAAAAAAACGGATTTGAAAACTTTCTCACCATTTCCTTCTACAAACAGCTTGGCGTAAAATTCCCATGGCCCGTTGTATCTCTTCATACTGGTCACGAACTGAAAAAATGATACAGCAACATCCTTTGGATTCCGAGCGAGGTAGATATATTTACACTTGCTGTCTTTGTTTGTACCTTTAGGAATAATATTGTAAAGAAGATGGGTCTTTAAAATTCGTGGACTTGGCAGAGTGTTGATGTCAAGATGGGAAGACCTTGGATGGGTTGCCCGTTCTAAGAATGGTACTCGCTCTCTAGCATGGGTACTTTTGACTTCTCCTTCATTCAAGATCTGCCAGACAATTTCTTGAATCCAAGTTGTTCCTGAATAAGATGGTGTTAAATTAGTTTTATTATAAAACAGACAATTGTGGTTTTGAAATCAAACTAACGATTGAAGTCGGTGATCGAGCTACAAATCTAAGCCGAATCAGAGAGACCCTGGGAACGAATTACTGAAAATGACTGCACCGGGTGTGTGTTATGCGCAAGATATGTGCTGTACTGGGCACATTCCAAGTCGCATCCATTTAACTCATGTCAACTAGATTGTGAACAGGCTTCTTATCGGGGGAAAGGACGAAAAAGAAAACAAAAACAAAAAGAAAAACAAAGAAACAAAACAAAACAAAACGGCGAGTTAGAATTGCGATTAAAAAAAAAAAACTTAATGGTGCGGCCGGCCGATTGTATTACGACCTTTTTTTCCCGGCGCGTGGCGTGGCAGGCGTTTGCATAGACCTGTTGAGAGGCTAATGCGTGAAATGGGAGGCGCACTTTACCTAAGGAAGACCGTTATGTCTAAAGTCCCGGCCAAACGATCGGAACATTTCAACGCAACATATCGCAACATTGTTGGGCGCACCATGTTGCGTGCGTTTGGCCACCCTGTTGCGAGTTGTTGCGAAGTGTTGCGACATGTTGGGTGTTGTTGGCTCAAATTTGAAACTGGTCAAATTTTTCTTACAACATTTGTCGATGTTGCATGAGGTTGTAGTCGTTTGGCCAGGCTCGTACAACAATGCTGCACCTGGGCATGCGCACTAGCTCGATTTTCAATTTCCGACATGTCGCAACACGTCGCAACAGGGTGACCAAACGCGCTCAACATGTTGCGCCCAACAATGTTGCGATATTTTGTGCTGAAATGTTGCGATCGTTTGGCCGGAGCTTGCAAATGCTGGGCCAACGATGCTGCGATATGTTGTGATAATATGTTGCGATCGTTTGGCCGGAGCTTAACTGTTGCATTTTAGATCCTGAATTTTCACGGATAAGCTGTTTGAGCAAGTTCCTTCCGACAGGTGGACTCCCTAATATTTTCGGATATCAATAGTTCTGTAACGTACTTAATTTTTACATACAGACTGATTCCCAAAACCTTGTCTCTAAATTACTTGTAGTCTTTCACCGTACGCTTTTCAGTCAATAACAAATGAAAAAATAATCCTCTGTTGTTGTAGCCTTCTTCGGGCTCGTCACGAAATCGAAATCTTTAGCACGACGTCCTTCTGCTGTAACACAACATGGCCGTTGCATGTACAACACCAAAGACACGAACAAGCACACGTCGCTTTTCACCAGGAATATAGAGCTACGCTACATTCTATTAGCCAAAATACTCACTAAACCAGGAAAACTCTAAGGGAAAGACAGCGTTTTCTGATTGTTAGATATGCTAGTAATCTTAGCCGATGATATCTGTTTGTTCTGATCGGGTAAAAAGGTCGCTCTTTCGGGCTTTAACATAGCAGTTGTGGAAGACTATCGGAGCCACTTGTGATCACTTGTTTATGCAATCTATCTCTGATATTATTTTGTACAAAACACGGTGTTTCGAATTTTAATGCTTACTGGGTCTGAACTCACCTGACTTGGGATATGTGACCACGAAGACATCGTCAGATCTCGTCTGAAAATTCGTGATAAAGTCACAAAGCAACTGAGGATCGGAAGTGAAATGTGCAGGCATTTTCAAACCCAAAATATCGATGAATTTTTCAGATGACCATTCACCTTCTGTTACTTGAAAGACAGGAAAACTCGCCATGATTGCTGCAGTGCAAACACAATATGTCGCTTAACATGGGCGAGTCACGTAACTCTACAGCACTTCGGATGGGTTCACGCAACTCTGCTCTGACCTGTTAGTTGCGCAATGAGTGAAAAGGCTCGAGTCACTCTTTGGTGATCATATTTATGTTAAATTATTATTACTTTAAATACTAATGATGTATATATCGGTAACTGACCAAGTGTGAGGTGAAGATGGCTGGATATTGGCCAGTTCTTTTTATGCGTGTTTACGGACCGAGCCTGGAGACCGAGACGGTCAAGTCACCCAAGTCACGCAATCATTCCTCCTCGTTGGGAAGGAGTGCGTGACGAGCCCAAACAATGTCTGCGCAGGGGGTTCTGCTAATGTATGTGCTAGCGTGATTCAGCACAAATAATCATGGCGACTTTTCCTGTCTTTCAAGTGACAGAAGGCGAATGGACATCTGCAAAGTTCATTGACATTTTGGGTTTGAAAATTCCTCCCAGTTTAACTTCCGATCCCCAGTTGCTTTGCGACTTTATCACGGATTTCCAGACGAGACCGGATGACGTTTTCGTGGTCACATATCCCAAGTCTGGTGAGGCAGTAACATGTTATTAAAAGTTTAAGGGGTATAAACGGTCTAAAGGTTATTGTCCAGTGGACATGATATGTCAGGGACCACTAGTGCTAAATTGAGACTTACCCTTGTAAACGTCTGCGAAAGAACAAAGTTAACGGCGGCCGGTTGTCAATTGCTTTATCACTAAGTTACTAACTTACCAAACAATCGTAACCACTCAATAAATAGAGTCAATAATTTCGCATATGAGAGATAATTGATCTAAAAACAACTTCGCGAAGATTTAGGTCTCTGAGGGTTTTTGTACGCGCATTACTTGAAGAAATACCCCACAGATATTTATGAAAAGGCTTTGTACGATCAAGATACTTGTTGGTGATACTCGGAGTAGCACCTGCATATCGGCAACATGCATATAAGGTGGCCGTAACGCAATAGAAACATCCGTCATTTAGTTTTGCTGTTAAAACAAAACGTTATTATTTTAGAGCTCCGACACATTGAAATTAATACTTCATCTAATGCAAGGCTGTTCAATCAGCAAAACTTTGACGATATGCCATCTTTTGAACTACGCGACAGCCCTCTCGGGCTGCCATTCCATGTCACGCAACGCAAAAGCTTGGAAATTTAAATGTACTTTATAAAACACGAAGAACCTTTCGAATTGCAACTTTGTAAAGCGTCAAGTTTTTAGAGGGTCTTATATCTGGTGAGGCTAAAACGTAACATCAGAAGCAAAGGTAATTTTAAATTTTGGAACATAAGCACGCCACAAGAAAAGCGGTAATTGAATCGAATTGGCGCTGTTAGTTAGCCTCCAATTTTCCTTATTTTTACCATGTACCTGATGTACTCCGATGTACTGTGCAGCGTCATTCTTTTTGAGCCGTTTTTGGTCTCAGTGAAACAGGGCATAGATTTGACTTTTGGTTTAAAACAGAGTAGAATTTGCACTCTAAATCGGATCGGATTGGACATAATCGAAGTCCTTCTCGTCTGTTTACAGATGGAAGGCGTTTCAGATTAGCATGTACTGCGCATGTACTGTGCATGTACAGTGAAACCTGTATTTAGCGGACACCCTTGGGACCCTCATTAGTGTCCGCTTAATACAGGGTGTCCGCCAACTTCGTTCCCAGGGTCTCTCATCTTACCGCCCCCTCCTCGCTCGCTCCAGGGGTGGTAAGATGAGAGACCCTGGGAACGAGGTTGGGTGTCCGCTCAAAACAGGTTCTAATAAGTTGTGCAATAATAGTTAATTATTAACTCTTTTGTAACACGCCTACCTGGGTTAACTTTCCTCTTTGGTAACCCTCCCTCCTTGTAAACAGGCCCTTAGAGACCTATACTAATTTTAGAGGTCTGAACAAAAAGGCTATCGAGTGTATCGAGAGTAACAAGGAAAATAATAATTTTAAATAATTAGCACGAAATCAACATCGGGAGAGGACACCCGCGGACGAAGTTAATCAGAAAACCTTTTTTTTTTCAGGCTTTATGTTCAAAACTGCTAAAGTTGTGTACATAACTTCGATGATCATTTGTGTCTTTACAATTTTAGAATTGTTCGTTAATTTCATTACATACTAAATTTAACATCATTTCATTCAGGGACAACTTGGGTTCAAGAAATTGTCTGGCAGATTTTCAACGACGGGCAAGTCACAAGTGACCATATTTTGCAAAGAGTTCCATTCCTAGAAACAGCAACCAGTGCAAGATTTCCCCAACCAAACTACAACACTTTGCCAAGTCCCCGCATCGTGAAGACTCATCTTCCCTACAATCTTGTTCCTAAAAGTGCAAACGAGGACAGCAAGTGTAAATATATTTACATTGCTCGCAATCCTAAAGATGTCGCAGTCTCATTTTTTAAATTCGCGACAAGCGTTTTTGGACATGAATTTAATGGGCCGTGGGAGTTTTATGCCAGGTTATTTGTTGAAGGAAATGGTAAGTAAGGTTTGCTATTAAACTAATTGAGCCTTAAAATAGAAAACTTGATGCTGCCCCGTAAATTCCTCTTACTTACCGTAGTGTACAATTCTTGTATTGGTTGACAGAAATGGGTAGCATATCAAGCTAGCATTTTAATTGGCTGTACAACTCCTTTTTCCTCACATGATTCGACTGCCCCCCTTCGGTTAAAGTTCAGGGCTTGCATATTTCTCAGACATTCTTTCTTTTTTACCTTGGAAAATTCGTACATCTGCTGACCAGTACATAAGGGTTCCGCGTCGCTTGCACACAGAGCCTTACTGAACTTAAAGTTATTCGTGATGTTGAAGATGCTGAGGTGCAGGTGGAAGGATTTCATCTCCGTGTGATTTGTTTTTTAATGGCAATGTTTGTCATTTGTTCTTTGAGGCCAGTACTCAGTATCTCATCGCAGAAATACTCCACATGAGTACATTTTAGGACGAAAGTCTTAATAGAGGATTCAGCTTCAATAATACAGGCTCGACTGTACACTAATTGTACTCAACTCTCGAAAAAGTAGACGTTGATAATCACAAATTGATGAGTTGCATAAATTTGCGATTGATTAAAACCTTGATTGAAATTTTTCGACGGGAAACGGATAGAACAGTTGAGGAGAATTCGAACGCTTCGTTTCGCTATAACTACGGCAAAAGTAAAAGGTAAATTCTGCATACGAGCCAAGTGGCTCATCAGGCCGGAGCTTATCCCGGTTTCTGTAGCATGAAGCGACTAGGAGTATTGCTATTACCCCCTGGAGGAGATGGTAGTTCATCGCAGGGTTATCCCCATCATTTAATTCGCCGGTACCCGTTTATACACCTAAGTGGAGAGAGGCGCTTTGAGAGTAAAGCGTCTTGCCTAAGAACACAACGCAATGTCTCCGGCCAGAGCTCGATCCGGCGACAAGCGCACTAACCATGAGGCCACCACGCCTTCCACAAATTACGGTACTACAAATTAAATGTGGACATGGCTTACTAATATGAACAAATCTGTTAATGAGAAGAAGAAGAAGAACAAAAGAAACTGCACTTACTCTTACTGGCAATGGATCCCACAAGAGGAGACAATGCAGGGGTATTATTACTTGGTCACGTGTCCAAGTACTAACCCTGTCCGACAGGGTTCAGCTTTGGTGATCGGGCAAGTTTTAAGAAGCAGTACTTTACCTGTGGTAACACTGTGATGACTTCGTGAATGCTTTCCACCGCGTCACATCTCTTTATGTGTTCTGTCACCTTTGCTTTTTGCACTATTTCTTAACAATGCCAGTAAGTTCTAACTATGCACTGTTCTCCTCTCTAGCTCGATGTAGAAATGGTGTATTACCTGTGGATTAAAACCTGCCACTGTTTACAAACGATCTATGCTCCAAGTTCAGTAATCGACATCCACTTTGATCATTTTTCATTGAGAGCTGAGGTCAAACGCACTGAAATCCGAGAACTAAAAATGCCCAGCGGCTTTATCAGTCTATGGACTATTGGCAACCTCGCGTTCTTCTCAGAGCGGTTAAAACCGCGAGAAACCATGTTCCGGACCATTTTGGAAGTTTCTTGAAGGATGTACTTGTGTACTCTGACTTAACTGATGTTAACATATTTACACTTATTTTTTAATGAAAAAAGAAACAATCCAGGAATATATAGTCAAGGCAGCATGCAGAAAAATAATTACAATAGCCAGTGCAATGAACATATGCTTTGAGAGGTTTCATGTTTGATTTCTGCATTACCTTGGTTCTGAATCAATCTTTTTGTTTCATACAGTAAGTTGGAACCTATGGACTGACCATGTTCTGGGATGGTGGAAGCACAAAGATGATTCAAATGTCTTGTTTCTTAAATATGAAGATTTACAAAAGGTTTGTTATATGAGACCTGTATTTTCTTGGCCTGTTGCAGGCTAATAATAGTTAACGGCAGAGGCATATCACCTAGGTGATATGCTTTTGTTAACGGTAATAGTACCGTTTATAATACATTTCAAGACTTAAGCTGTCCTTTGATCCAACCCTTATCACATTTATGAGAGACTTCAAACCCATAAATGGTTTATTAATCTATTGCCACTTTTTGACACCTTCCGAGAAATAAACATGCTATACAGCTTTCAAAAGAACAAACTGCTTCTAGGTTCGGAATTTCAATTGCATGCATTTACCATAAAACTTGGATCGTAAGAATCGCATGTGACTTCGTCTTTCTTCGAATATCTTAGATGGGATGTGTTTCCTCTTTCTTAGGATCTGGCGTCCAGTCATTTGGCAGTCACTATACTATTCCAAGATGAATATGTTAGTATTTTTTGGTCAGAATTTCTGAAGCAACGGACAATCAGCGTGCCTAGGCTAGTTGTCACGAGAAATATAGCTTTGACAAATGGAACTTCGATATAAGCTGAAAAATATAATAATAATTATCTCTCCTTTAGGATCTACTTTCTCACGTCCAAATGATCGCCGACTTCCTTAACAAGCCGCTATCAGATGATCTCATCAGTCGCATTGCTGAACAGTGTACGTTCAGTGGAATGAAGAAAAATGCTGCAAGTTACCAAGTTAAGAAAGCTGCTGAGGGCGAAATATCGCTGCTTCGGAAGGGCGCGGTCGGAGACTGGAAGAATTACTTCACTCCAGAACTGAATGAGAGATTTGACAAGGAAGTGTTGGCAAAATTGAAAGGAAGGGGATTAGAGTTTGATTTTGAGATATAGCAGAAGGAACGGTGAAAATCGGATTTGTAGTTAGTTTAGTTTATTTGACAATTTATCAAAGTCAAATAAAAGTTATAAGATAAAATGACTGCAGGAGCCTATGGGCTCCTGATAACTGTTAGGAATATGATCTGAGGGAACCGACATTTTAAAACTACCAACATCACAACAACATCAAGGTCAACATCACAACCTACGGAATGGAATCGTAGCGTTACCTAGCACCGAAACTGTGGAACCTGCTACCAGAGTCATACAGAACTATCAGAACTTTTAAAGCCTTTAAAAACAGTGCAAGGAAAATTGACCTTTTGGGCCTCTTATGGTGGCTCTAAACAGGTTCGTTATAACCACTCTTTATCACTTGATGCTACAATCATGGTATCAAAAACTGCCCAATCATTGGTGAACAACTTGTTATCATTTTCGTGACACAATAGGTTACCATAGCAACAGTATGACCTCCTAAAAACACCCTTAATTACAGCTTTAGGGGCTTATAATTCAAAAACGGCACGGTGAATTTTATATATATATATATCAAATTTTGATAACCATGATAAGACGCAGTTTTTGGCAAAGGTTAAAAAAAATTCTATTGGTGGGGTTCAGAGCCACCTTAAATTTTCGAAAATTTAGGGAATTTTCAGGGAATCAGAGAGACCCTGGGAACGAATTACTGAAAATGAACGCACCGGGTGTGTGTTATGTGCAACATACGTGCTGTAATGTACACATTCCAAGTCGCATCCATTTAACTCATGTCAACTAGATTGTAAACAGGCTTCTTGTCGGGGGAAAGGGTGAAAAAAAAAAAAAAAAAAAAAANCGGGGGAAAGGGTGAAAAAAAAAAAAAAAATACAAAACGGAAAGTTAAAATTGCGATCAAAAAAACTTTATGGTGTTCTTTCACCGTACGCTTTTCAGTCAATAACGAATAAAAATAATAACCTGTTGTTATAGCCTTCTTCGGGCTCGTCACGAAATCGAGATCTTTAGCACGACCTCCTTCTGCAGTAACACAACATGGCCGTTCCATGCACAACACCAAAGACACGAACAAACGCACGCCGCGTTTCACCAGGAGTATATAGCTACGCTACATTCAATTTGCCAAAATACTCACTAAGCCAGGAACACTCTGAGGGAAAGACAGCGTTTTCTGACTGTTAGATATGCTGATCGGGTAAAAAGGTCGCTCTTTCGGGGATTTAAAGGAGCTACGTCACGGTTTGCGCTTGTTGAAAAGTTTAGCCTCAATTTTTCAGATTCGTCGTTTACAATCCGTGTCAGTCTTCTCGATCCTTAGCCATCCTTGTTCCTTTATGGTTTATCATTATGTCTTTGGTGTTTTTCTATCTTATTAAACTGTTATTTTCAGGTTTCCTATCATTTAAAGGTAATTTTGTATGTGGGCAAAATAACTCAAAATACCGTGACTGAGCCCCTTTAACATGGCAGCTGTGGAAGACTATCGCAGCCACTCGTAATCACTTGTTTATGCAAGGCTATCTCTGATACTACAAAACACGATGTTTTGAATTTTAATGCTTACTGGGTCTGAACTCACCTGACTTGGGATATGTGACCACGAAGATATCGTCTGGTCTCGTCTGAAAATTCGTGATAAAGTCGCAAAGCAACTGGGGATCGGAAATGAAATGTGCAGGCACTTTCAAACCCAAAATATCAATGAATATTTCAGATGACCATTCACCTTCTGTTACTTGAAAGACAGGAAAACTCGCCATGATTGCTGCAAGAAGCTAATAAGTACAAACACAATATGTCGCTAATATGGGCAAAGTCACGTAACTTAACAGCACGTGGGTGGGTTTCTGTTCTGTGAATCACGCAACTCTACTCTGACCTGGTTGCCCAATGAGTGATCAGGCTCGAGTCACTCTTTGGTGATAATATTTATTTAAGAAATAGAAAACATGTACCGTGTTTCTATCGAGTTTTATATAATAATCCAAGTTATTCTCGCATTTTGATTGGTTCTCGCCTATGATGGACAGATGCACGATTGACGTCATCATTTCAAAGTTTTTCCCTCTATGTTTTAAAATGGCGGAATGTTTTGAGAATTTAGATAATATTTTACATGACTGGGCAAAAGATAAGGTACAAGAAAGTCTTGTCCAGGCATTGAACAGGTACCAGAAGCATAGTCTAGCGGGAAGAAGAAAGATAAAGCCGTTTCTGTTTTATAAAATGACTCAGAAAAAATACTCGAGCATTCTCAGTCGGCAGTCGAGCGAGACTAAACCAAACACAAAATTAGTCCTGGTAAGCCGAGAACCGTTGCTTTATCTCGAATTTAACCAAACCCAGTAAACAAAATGTTTATGAGATTAAGTTATTTAAAACATTGAACTTTTCTCAGTCTCAAAATAATTGTTGACACAGTTATTGTCTGGGATGAAACGTCACAACCACTTCTTAAAATCATTTAAAATAAACATATAACCTTGCTTTCCGATGCGAATGTTCCAGTCCGTTTCAGGGCACAGCAGCGAGCAAAGTATAGCTCGCTACAGCTCACGGCCAACTGTATCGCAGCTAAAAGGTGTCTCCGACACTATTTCAAACTGANCGTGACCTCCTCGAATACCGGTGCGATGCTCTACCAACTGAGCTATGAAGCCACACATTGGGAGCGAGGTTAATCAATTGAGTTCATATGTTCTCGTGAGGAGTGAAATGATGTTCCGAATGATGTGAAGTATATATGAATTAATTCATATTTGAACAGCGGTTGTAGATGAAAGTGAAGAATGATCATCGCAATAAATTTTCCAATTTAAACAATTGGAAAGAAGAAGCCTGAAAAAGAAACTCAGGGCTTCAACGGGATAAGACGGCATATCGTCAAAGTTTTGCTAATTGAACAGCCTTGCATTAGATGAAGTATTAATGTCAATGCGTCGGAGCTCTCAAGAGAGTAATAACGTTTTGGTTTTAACAGCAAAACTAAATGACAGATGTTCCTGTTGCCTTACGGCCACCTTATATGCATGTTGCCGATATTCAGGTGCTACTCAGAGTATCACCAACAAGTGTCTCGATCGTACAAAGCTTTATAAATGTCTGAGGGGTATTTTTTCAGGTAATGCGCGTACAAAAAACCTCATATGCGAAATTATTGACTCTATTTATTGAGCGGTTAAGATTATGGGGTTGAAGCCCTGATTTTTTTTTTCAGGCTTCTTCTTTCCAATTGTTTAAATTGGAAAATTTATTGCGATGATCATTCTTCACTTTCATCTACAACCGTAGTTCAAATATGAATTATTTCATATATACTTCACAATATAATTGTTTAATAGAAACACGACTTTTAACCAATCAGCGCGCGTATTTCCTTGGGGCTGTTTTCTGAATTAAATTGTTATTACTTTAGATACTAATGATGTATATATGGGTAATTGACCAAGCGTGAGGTCAAGATGGCTGGATATTGGCCAAGTTCTTTTTATGCGTGTTTATGGACCGAGCCGGGAGACCGAGACGGTCAAGTCACGCAAGTCACGCAATAATTCCTTCCTTGTTGGGAAGGAGTGCGTGACGAGCCAAAACAATTTCTTCGCAGGGGGCTGTTGTAGCGTGATTCAGCACAAACAATCATGGCGACTTTTCCTGTCTTTCAAGTGACAGAAGGCGAATGGACATCTGAAAAGTTCATCGACGTTTTGGGTTTTAAAATTGCTCCCCGTTTCACTTCCGATCCCCATTTGCTTTACGACTTTATCGTGAATTTTCAGACGAGACCGGATGACGTTTTCGTGGTCACATATCCCAAGTCAGGTGAGGCAGTAACATGTTATTAAAAGTTTAAGGGGTATAAACGGTCTAAAGGATTATTTTCCAGTAGACATGATATGTCAGGGACCACTAGTGCTAAATTGAGACTTACCCTTGTAAAGGCCTGCGAAAGAACAAGGTTAGCGGCGGCCGGTTGTCGATTACTAACTTACCAAACAATCGTAACCACTCAATAAATAGAGTCAATAATTTCGCATATGATAGATGATTGATCTAAATACAACTTCGCGAAGATTTAGGTCTCTGAGGTTTTTTGTACGCGCATTACCTGAAAAAATACCCCTCAGACATTTATAAAGCTTTGTACGATCGAGACACTGGTGATACTCGGAGTAGCACCTGAATATCGGCAACATGCATATAAGGTGGCCGTAAGGCAACAGAAACATCTGGCATTTAAAACGAAACGTTATTACTCTAGAGCTCCGACGCATTGAAATTAATACTTCATCTAATGCAAGGCTGTTCAATCAGCACTACTTTGACGATATGCCATCTTTTGACCTAAGCGAGAGCCCTCACGGGCTGCCATTTCCAATTGTCACGCAACGCAAAAGCTTGGATTAAATACGAAGAGCCCTTTCGAATTGCAACTTTGTAGAGCGTCAACTTCCTAGAGGGTCTTATATCTGATGAAGCTAAACGTAACATCAGAAGCAAAGGTAATTGCAAATTTTGAACGTGAGCACGCCACAAGAAAAGCGGTAATTATATAGAATTGAAGTCCAAGCTCAAGGAAACGAACTCCCTTTGCCATGTACTGCGCAGCATTAGGATGTATTCTGTTCGAGCCGTTTTGGTCTCAGTGAAACAGGGTATAGATTTGACTTTTTGGTTTAAAACTGAGTAGGATTTGCACTCTAAATCGGATCGGATTAGGCATAATCGAAGTCCTTCTCGTTTGTTTACACATGGAAGGCATTTCCGATTAGCCTGTACTGTGCATGAATAATACACAAGGTCATGTATTAGGGCCTGTTTACAAGGAAAGAGGGTTACCCTAGCAAGCGGGTTACCCTAGCACTCACACATTTTCTCTTTTTTTCTTCATCGTGTTTACAAGGCAGCCAGGGTTACTGTACTAATTTTAGAGGTCTGAACAAAAAGGGTACCGAGTGTATCGAGCAGTAACAAGAAAAATAATAATTTTAAATAATTAATGCGAAATCAACATCGGGAGTGGACACCCGCGGACGAAGGTAATTACAAAACCCTTTTTTTCATGCTTTTTGTTCAAAACTGCTAAAGTTGTGTACGTAACTTCGATGATCATTCGTGTCTTTACAATTTTAGAATTGTAGGTCAATTTTATTACATACTAAATTTAACATCATTTCATTCAGGGACAACATGGGTTCAAGAAATTGTCTGGCAGATATTTAATGAAGGACAAGTCACAAGTGACCACATTATGCAACGAGTTCCATTCCTTGAAGCGGGAACCAGTGCAAGATTTCCCCAACCAAACTACAACACTCTGCCAAGTCCCCGCATTGTGAAGACTCATCTTCCCTACAATATTGTTCCTAAAAGTGCAAACGAAGACAACAAGTGTAAATACATTTACATTGCTCGCAATCCTAAAGATGTCGCAGTCTCACGTTTTAAATTCACGACAAGCCTGAAGGTTTTTGGAAATGGATTTAATGGGCCATGGGAGTTTTATACTAAGTTATTTGTGGAAGGAAATGGTAAGTGAGAAATTCCTTTGGGAATTACTGTAACTGGTTTTGAATTCATCATTCTTTTTCTTTTTTATACAGTAGGTTGGAACTTCTGGAATGACCATGTTCTGGGATGGTGGAAGCACAAAGATGATCCAAATATCTTGTTTCTTAAATATGAAGATTTACAAAAGGTTTGTTATATGAGACCTGTATTTTCTTGACCTGCTGCAGGCTAATAATAGTTAACTGTAAAAGTACCGTTTATAATACATTTCAAGGCTTAAGCTGTCCTTTGATCCAACCCTTATCACATTTGTGAGAAACTTCAAACCTGTAAGTGGTTTAATAATCTATTGCCACTTTTTAACACCTTCCAAGAAATGGTCATGATATACAGCTTTTAATCAAAAGAACAAAATTGCTCCTAGGTTCGAAATTTCAATTGCAAGCATTTATCGTAAACTTAGATCATAAGAATCGCTCGTTACTTCGTCTTTCTTCGAATATCTTGGATGGAATATGTTTCCTCTTTTTTAGGATCTGGCATCCAGTCATTTGGCAGTCACTATACTATTCCAAGATGAGAATGTTGGTATTTTTTGTCAGAATTTCTGAAGCAATGACAATCAGCGTGCCTAGGCCAGTTGTCACGAGAAATAGAATTTTGACAAATGGAACCTCGATATACAAAGAATACTCTTCATTTGGCGCGAAAAAATGCTCGGATATTTGTCGGCGGAGTTATCTGTTCCGAGACGCGAACAGTTTACCGAGAGCGTAGCTCGATGAAACTGTGAGCTTTGAGGAACGGATAATGTCAAAGGACAAAGTGGATTATGACATAGCGCGCGCGCTAGTCAATTCCTATTGAGCCATCATGGACGAATTAAGCAATAGACCACAAGTTTTTATGGTTTATAGGCTGATAAACCAAGCAGGATGTTGGAAGAACACGAGAAGAATTCGTAAATCACGAGCCGCAGGCGAGTGATTTAAGAATTCTTCGAGTGTTCTTCCAACATCCCAACTGGTTTATCGTGTCTCTAAACCATAGAAACTTGTGGTCTATTGCTTTTATATGATAATTCAGAAGACACGCGAAATTTCCATGAGTTTACTGGCACAATAAACCATAGCTGATTGACCAATCAGAGCGCGCGCATTCATTTGATTATTATATTAACAATACACATGAAAAAATTATTCGATTCTGATTGGCTGAGAGCAGTGCAGTTCAAGTGTAACACAAGTGCAAAAAGTGTAACATCAGTGCAAAAAGTGTAACACCAGTGCAAATTACACATCGAAATTCTGGATTATGATTGACTGAAAGACAATAGGAACTTTTCTAAGGAAATGATATCACGTAAAATGATGACCAAAATTTTCTGCTGAAACTTTGAAAAATTTTTTCTCAAATGAGAAAAAATGGCTTCAAGAAAGATCTTCCGGCACTTCCTCCGCGCTAATTTTTTCATGTTTATATTATTAATAAGTAATCATAAGGTTTTTCTCGTTCAATTTGGAGTTAATTTGCACTTGTGAGTTTTTCAAAAAGCTGAAATTACACTCGCCGAAGCGGCTCGTGCAATTTCAGCTTTTTGAAAAACTCACAAGTGCAAATTAATTCCAAATTGAACTCGAAACCGTATGATTACCTATACAAATCTCTATATGTGCACGGCCGTGCGTATATAAGATGACATGGGCAGTTTCAATTTAGCTGCAAAATTTTCATCGAGTTTCGTGCAAGTTCCTTTTGTTTAAGTTTCGGCAATGTGAAGATTATTCTGAACAATCCAAACTCTACTTCGAGCCTTTGACTTTTGCCAAGCTAAGATGTTTACTTAAACGTGAGTATTTTGACTTTGTTTATCTACAATTTCATCGAGTATTTTTGACTTTGTCTGCCTACATTTTTATTATAATTAGTTCGAAGAAGTGAATTTTTTATTGACAATTTTAGCAACCAGGTTAAGCGTTTCCGCTTCTCAGTTGCTCAAATGATTGTGGCGTGATCCTTCCTTCACCGTCCATTGTGAGAACTTTGTAGTCTATCACAAATAAAACGTGTTTTAGCGCCCAAGGTGTTGTCGCCATGTTATAAAAGAATTGTTTCATGCTTTTAGCTTTGCGTATATTGAGTTATGGATGCACTTGGGTAGTTTGGAGAGCACTCAAGAAGCTAGAGTTGCTCTCGGCTGTCGGCGTCTCGAGCAACTCTTACGCTTCCTTCGTACTCTCCAAACTTCCTACGTGCATCCATAACTCGATATACGCACCCTAAGCATGAACCAATTCTTAAATATCCGAGTATCTTTTCGCGCCGAATGGAGGCTATTGTGTTTATTATTCGGCCTTCAAATATGTTTTTCAACACGCGCGGTTTTCAAATATCACTCGGATATTCCTCAGTTTTAGCTGGAGCGTATTGAGTCATATTCGGTCACGTGACGCATTTAGACCTATCGTGCGCGAGTAAAAATATTTGATGGATTGTAAAACCTCAATAGAAGGTCAAAAAAAATAATAAGTATCTCTTCTTTAGGATCTACTTTCCCATGTTCGAATGATCGCCAACTTCCTCAACAAGCCGCTGTCAGATGAACTCATCAGTCGCATTGTTGAACAGTGTACTTTCAGTGTTATGAAGAAAAATGCTGCTAGTTACCTATTTAAGAAATTTGGTTTGGGTGAATCATCGCTTCTTCGGAAGGGCGTGGTTGGAGACTGGAAGAATTACTTCACTCCAGAACTGAATGAGAGATTTGAAAATGAAGTGTTGGCAAAATTGAAAGGATCTGGATTAGAGTTTGATTTTGAGATATAGCAATAGCAGAAGCCGACAGTGACAGTCGGATTTGTATAGTAGTTAGTTTAGTCTATTTGAGATAATTAGTTAAAGTCAAATAAAAGTTATATGAAAAACAAAACTGTTAGGAACATGAATTTGACAATGGTCAATGGGTTGGAATCCCGTTCAGGCCTGAATTTTTTTTAGGCTTAAATTTCACAACTGCTTAAGTTGTGTGCATAACTGCGATGATCAATCATGTCCTCACATCTTTCTTCGCAATTCAAATATATGCTCGTTCATATGTCCACTTGTATTCTTCACGATCTACCGGTGTATTACGAACTCACAATGTGACCAGCTCCCAGTTGACTTGATAGCTCAGTTGGTAGAGGACTGCACCGGTATCGCAGAGGTCATGGGTTCGAATCCCGTTTAGGCCTGAATTTTTTCAGGCTTTTTTAATTTCACAACCGCTTAGGTTTTGTGTATAACTGCAAAGATCAATCATTTCGTTATATCTTTCTCCGCAGTTTAAATATATGATCTTTCATATATTATCTTTTTACGACAATGAACGGTACTGTCGTCAACGGATGTTATATTAGTATCTATGGTAGGCCAGTAATATAAATAACAGTAAATAGACAGATGTACTAGTAAACGGACACCAGGAAATTAAAAATGTGGAATGAACAAAATCAGGAATTATCAAGCGCTGTATTCTAATGCGTTATTAGACTCGTTGTTTGTAAGAAATTTTATTTCGTTTCTCCCTCGTTAATGCTTTGTGATAGAAAAAATATATCAACCAACATGTCGAGGGGAAGGTATCTGGGTTGCAGATACCAAATACAGGGTTGCCTCGCCATTCTAATTGTTGATTGTTGTTCAGTATTCCATTAAACAAAGAGAACCCACGATGCCTGCGTCTGTTCAGTAATTGTCACAGATTGATGATGTCAAAATGTGATAGCCGAGTGTGTCACTGATGTTCTTACTACATTCTGACGTGTTCTGTGATCAATTACTGAACAGACGCACAACAACAAGGAATCGATTTGTTTTATGTTATAAAAAAAGGTAATCGTTGACGTCATCTATTCGTCTGTCCTTCAACTGATCAAGAGAAAGAACCAATCAGATCAAAATGCGAGAATAACTCGACATATTATATAAAGTTGCATAACAACACAGACAAGCAAATCAAAGATCAGTTTCAATTTATTAAAGAGAGCATTGTTTCATCAATAACCTTTTTGCTCTCATTTCAGTTTTGTTCAATAAAACATTCATCACTGAAGTGTGAAGGGTATTAAGCTTAAAAAAAAACCACTAATTGGGGACATTATTTAAATATATCTCGGCTATATAAAATTAATATTATTTACAATAAAGTAAAGTGAAGTAAAGTAAAGTAAAGCCCGGTCCTCTCTAGCGGCGCAAGCATAAGCATAAGTATAAACAAAAGAAAAGAAGCTTATGCGCTAATCGGTGGTCGACGGCCGGGCATAATCATGTAAGCATGAGAATATCAAAACCTTGTGTTCTTCTTATATCGCCGTTATGTCCAGTGGGAACATGGTTGGCATAAGCAGAAGCAGAAGCATAAGCGAAAGACCTTCAGCTAATCAGCGAGAACTTAATACTCATGTCAGCATGTCCTCAGCGAACATAAGCATAAACAGAAGTATAAGAAGAACGCTTATAACTGAACAGTCCACTGCTCGACCCACTGCACACGACTGCGTACTTCCTTTGTTGCTGACCAGAGGAACCCAGGCTCAGAAGCAGACAAGCGTGACGAAGTCACGTGCAGTATCCAAAGACATCGATACTTCTCGCTGGTATCGATATTTCTCGACGCGAACTCGGTTATCGAATATTTGGTATCGGTATCGACTCATCTTTAGCACCGATTTGCACAAATCATTCATGGCGAGTTTTCCCGTATTTCAAGTAACAGAGGGGGAATGGACATCTGAAAAATTCATTGACGTGCTGGGCATGAAAATCTCCGTACTTTTCACTCCCGATCCTCAGTTGCTTTCCGATTTTATCACAAATTTTCAGACGAGACCGGATGACGTTTTCGTGGTCACATATCCCAAGTCAGGTGAAGCAATACATCATAATGTGTATAAACGTTCTTAAGAGTTATTGTCCAGTAGACATGACATGTCAGGGACAACTAGTAGTTAAATCTGGGGCATTGTTGACCCTTATAAACGTGTCCAGTGGACACTGGCGTTAAACTCGGGGCTTTGGAGAGACTCACTGGCTCGACTGGTCAGAGAACATAGCTTTCTCTCACTTATGTGTACAGTAAGGCGTGACATGATTTCGGTGGAGTTATTGTGGTCGTGACCGTGGTATTGCGCAACGTACTGTGACATTATTGTGACAGTCAAGTACAGGCAACTAACTCTATTTTATACTTTTTACCATAAAGGTATTTGCAGCGTCAAAAAGGTATGCTTTTTGAGCTGTTTCCGTCTGAAACAGGGTGTAGATTCGACTTTTTGTTCTGAAATAGAGTAGGATTATCACTCTGAATCGGATCTAATTGGGCATTTCTCCTCAAATGTATACGCAAACGAAGGGCATTTCTGATTAGCCGAGGTCATTATTAGAGATGTGCGCTAATTTTAGACCTCAGAACAAGGGTATCGAGCGTTAACAAGGAAAATAATGTTTAACAAATGCTGGACGAGGCTGAGCTAAATATCGTTACTCACTGTCACTGGCGAGCAGATCAATATTTTCCCGAAGTCATCTTACGCAAATAATTGATCTGTGAGACCCTGAAATATCACGATATTTTGCGACGATGAAGTTCAATAATTCGGGATAATTGTTTAATCATTCGATCACCAAGAGGGTGGCAAAGGTGGGGTACCAATCACGCATCATGCTGAATTTTTCTATTACACCACGCATCACGGAGAATTTTTTTCACCAATCACGCGTCACGTAAACAGAAGTAAGTACACCGCCAATTTTACTTTCTCGACCCTAAAAGCGTCGTTAAAAGAAGAACTTTGCCGATTCAACCACAATAATGCATCGGCGAATAAGTGACCTCTCACGCGAAAACGTTCCTTACGGTATCCGTTCGAACGGCTGAACGCACGGCAAGTGAACTAGCCTGCGAACAGGCTTCCAGCTCTCGGCTCTCCCCGCTCGCTGTAGACCACACTTGGCTAGCTCGCACTAACCCATCAACCCAACCAGGAGCCTGTTCGCAGGCTACAAGTGAACGGATAATTTGACTAACGATAGTCAATTTACTTGTTCCAAGATATCTTAAGACCACTTGGTTGTACATGAGTTGATAACCACTGAATATAATGACCAATGACTCTAGAAACGATTTAATGAAATGCAAACTGTGAATTAAGGTAAATGTGAGGGATTCATGAGATGTGGGCTGTTTAGGTATATGTTGAGAATTAATACGATGAAAGCTGTGTAGGTATATGTGGGGGATTAATGAGTTGTAGGCTGTGTAGGTATATGTGGGGAATTGACGAGATGTAGGCTGTGTAGGTATATGTGAGGGATTAATGAGATGTAGGCTGTGTAGGTATATGTGGGGAATCAATGAGATGTAGGCTGTGTAGGTATAAATGAAAGATTATTGAGATATAGGTTGTGTAGGTATGATTTGGGGGATTGATGAGATGTAAGCTGTGTAGGTATATTTGAAGGATTTATAATGAGATGTAGGCACTGTAAGTATATGTGAGGGACTAATGAGCTGTAGGCTATGTAAGTATATGTGGGGGATTAATGAGATGTAGGCTGTGTAGGTACATGTGAGGGATTAATGAGCTGTAGGCTGTGTAGGTATATGTTGGGGATTAATCTAATGTAGGCTTTGTAGGTATATGTGGAAGATTATTGAGATGTGAGCTGTGTAGGTATGTTTGGGGGATTATTCTAATGTAGGCAGTGTAAGTATATATTAGGGATTAATGAGCTGTAGGTTGTGTAGGTATATGTGGGGCATTAATGAGATGTAGGCTGTGTTGGTATATATGAAGGATTAATGAGCTGTAGGCTGTGTAGGTATATATGGGGGATAAATGAGATGTACTGGCTGTGAGGTATATATGGGGGATTGATGGGATGTAGGCTGTGTGTAGGTATATGTGAGGGATTAAAGAGATGTACTGCTGTGTAGGTATATGTGGGGGATTAATGAGATGCAAGCTGTGTAAGTATATGTGGGGGATTAATGAGATGTAGGCTGTGTAGGTATGTGCAAGGGATTAATGAGCTATAGGCTGTGTAGGTATATGTTGGGGATAAATGAGATGTATTGCTGTGTAGGTATATGTTGGGGAGAAATGGGATGTAAGCTGTGTAGGTATATGTGGGGGATTAATGAGATGTAGGCTGTGTAGGTATATTTGGGGGATTTAATGAGATGTGGGCTGTGTAGGTATATGTGGAAGATCATTGAGATGTGGGCTGTGTAGTTATATGTGGGGGATAAATGAGATGTAGGCTGTGTAGGTATATGTGGGGGATAAATGAGATGTAGGCTGTGTAAGTATATGTGGGGGATTGATGGGATGTAGGCTGTGTAGATATGTGAGGGATTAATGAGATGTATTGCTGTGTAGGTATATGTAGGGGATTAATGAAATGTAGGCCTTGTTTGTATATGTGGAAGATTATTAAGATGTACTGCTGTGTAGGTATATTTGGGGGATTAATGAGATGTAAGCTGTGCAGGTATATGTGGGGTATTAATGACATGTAGGCAGTGTAAGTATATGTGAGGGATTAATGAGCTCTAGGTTGTGTAGGTATATGTGGGGGATTAATGGAATGTAATCTGTGTAGGTATATGTGGGTGATTAATGAGATGTAGGATGTGTAGATTTATGTGGAGCATTAATGAGATGTAGGCTGTGTAGGTATATGTGAAGGATCAATGAGCTGTAAGCTATGTAGGTATATGTAGGGGATTAATGAAATGTAGGCTGTGTAGGTATATGTGGGGGATTAATGAGAAGTGGTCGGTGTAGGTATATGTAGAGGATTAATAGAATGCAGGCTGTGAGGGGATATTAGGGGGATTTTTAGGGGGTGGTTTAGGAATAATACTTGAATATACATCCAGGAGGTATTGTTTCAAGAGAGATTAAGAGAGATGTGTATATTGCGGTGGAGTTAACTGGCCGCCCAACCATCCGGGTGGTGTCGCACTTATAAAGTGAATGAACAAAAAGGCTTGGCTTTGAGCCAGTGAGAAAGCACTGACGTCGTAGCTAAACTGGAGAAACGATTTTCTGACACCGGCTGGATTTGATTATTCAAAATGGCGGACATACCTTAATTCAAGGCTATAATATGCTAATTTGCGAAATATTCTTTATATGCACGCTTATGTTTTGTAACGGCTATGTAATTTATGCTATAAATACAGTTGTATAATATACGCGTTCCTGAGTTACAGTAGCCGGATTAAACCTTGATTGACTACGTTCGTTTAAGGTTCTCTCTGCTATCTAATATCACACGTTGCAGCGAAAGGGTAGTTCAAATTCCTTGACAACGTCTACCGTCTACGAATGCCTACGAGCGAAAACAACTTCCGGTACCTTGCCGCCTAAAGCATCACTTTATTCAATGTTATTCCTTTAGATATCATTGTCTCCGCAACATTTAGATTTGTGGTCAATTAAGTAGCGAGATCCCCGAGAACTGGAAGCTATGGAAAGAGAAGTACGGTAATAATTACTCTGTTTGGAGCGGGAAAGCGCCGAGTATCAACTCGTCATGTTCAAGGACGTTATTGATGGCGATGACCTTTAAGTGTTCGAAGCCTTAAGCTATACTGACGAAGAAGATGCAAACGATTGACGTGTAGTAATGGGGAAGATGAAAAGGTATTGCATCGGCGAAGTAATGTAAACGAGATTTTTTCAGCAGGAGGGGAAAACTTCCTATCGAAACGCTGGACAACGTAATCGCTGAACTAAGAAGAACCTTGACAAAGAGCTGCAATTTATGTGATTTTTTACGGGTTTTACACGATACTCTAATCTGCGTTCGACTGGTCTTAGGATAAAACATGAGCAAAGCCCAAAGCAGCCACTTAGGATGAAAGACCCCACGTTAAACAAGTGTCATCCGCAAGCTTTGAGCTCCTTGTTTAGTAATTTCCATTGGAAAAGTGCACGTTTTCATGAGCCACAATACGGCCGAATTCCTCTGGACTACAAACCTTTACCTGCCTTTAGATCCTCATTTGAAAATTAACTTAAGAGCGAACTTTGAAGGCATCGTTCTTCTCTCGAAAGCCGCTCGAAACTACTCGAAGCTGAAAGCTTAGCTGAAGTCCCGTTTGTGATTGACAGCTGCCGCTTCGTTAGCCAATCAAATTAGTTAAACAATTCTAACGTGGATTGTTATTGGCTTATTTTAGCGTGCTTTATCAGAGAACAGAGCACGGCTGACGCCACTTTGACTCGTTTGGAAACTAAAGTTTGGTTTGAAAATTCAGCCGAATGCGTGGCGAAATTATTGGATTCTTTATCATAAAACAAATAAAGAAGTCTCGACTGTGCTCTGTTCTGTTGTAAAGCGCTTAGGAAGCGGTAGAGCACTCAAGAACTAGGGAAAAACACTTCTTTCGTGCTCTACCGCTTCCTAAGTGCTTTACAACAGAACAGAGCACAGTCGAGACTTCTTTGTTTGTTAATTATTGCATACTAAATTGAACATCATTTCGTTTAGGGACAACTTGGGTTCAAGAAATTGTCTGGCAGATTTTTAACGAAGGACAAGTCAAAAGTGACCACATTAATAAACGAATTCCGTTCCTGGAATGGTCGTCAACCAATCCAGTTGAGGAGCATCCTGACTTCGACGCTCTGCCGAGTCCCCGCATTTTAAAGGCTCACCTTCCCTACAATATCGTCCCTAAAAGTGCAAATGAAGACATCAAGTGTAAATATATTTACGTTGCTCGCAATCCAAAGGATGTTGCAGTATCGTTTTTTAAATTTGTGACAAGTTTGAAGTTTTTTGAAAATGGTTTTAATGGACCATGGGAGTTTTATGCCAAGTTATTTGTGGAAGGAAATGGTAAGTTTGGTAATTAAATGAGCCTTAAGACTCCAGAAAACCTGATACTGCTCTATAAATACCCTTTACTTACATTTCTTGTATTGGTTTGGGGAGCAGGGTTGGCGCAGTGGTGAGAGCGCTCGCCTCCCACCAATGTGGCCGGCTTCGATTCCAGCCCGGTACCATATGTGGGCTGAGTTTGTGGTTGGTTCTCGCCTTGTTCCTAGCGTTTTTCCCCGGGTGCTCCGGGTTTCTTGCCTCCACAAAAACAACACTCCAAATTACAATTCGATCAGGACAGTAGACTACGAGTAGTCCCTCTTTCGCTTAGTCCGTCGTGCGCGACGCGAAAGAAAACTGCGAGAGAAAAATAGCCGCGCAAATCCTGGGGACGAGGGGCGCGCGAAAGGAGGAACTACCGCCTAAGCCCAAGAGTTTGACCTCTCACGGCCGAGTGATTTTTCGGTGTAGGATTTCTCATCTTGACGTCCTCTTGTTATCGCCTGTTGTCAATAACCCTGGGAGATATCCTGAATAAAATTGCTCGATTCTACTACTCTTCAAGTAACTAGGCAGAAACATGCTGTGAGAAGTATATCTTCGTTCAGTGTTCGTTCAGCGAAATTGCCAAAGAAGTTTTAAAAAGAAGACAGCGAATGAGGCATCTTGCAACGATTTTCGCTGCGTCTGCAAAATCTAAAAGTTATTGGGAAGATTTCAAATGCAGAGTTTCAGCCGAGAATTTACACTATGTATTTGACATAGGAGATCATCCAACTGCAGATAGCAGCGGAAAGTTTCAGGTGAATGTGTGGTTTCAAGTGAAAGTCCGGTTCAATCTTTCAAATGGACGGCAGAAAGGCCAAGCTCACCAGTGAATTCATATTCGCTGACTTGGACGATGCTGTTGAGCGGTGAACTAACNGGATGAAAGCCACGAAAGACTGTCACAGTTATCTCCAGCTCCCAGTTGGCTTGATAGCTCAGTTGCTAGAGCATTGCACGGGTATCGCAGAGGTCATGGGTTCGAATCCCGTTCAGGCCTGAATTTTATTCGTGCTTCAATTTAATTCACAGCTGCTTTAGCTGAGTACAAAACTGCGATGATCATTTATGTCTTTGCCGGCCTTATAGTTTAGATTTGTAATTAAAATTTTAATTCTATTTCAAATTTCTAACCCAGGGATGATGACTAGTTGTCATAGAAAAAAAAGTGGATAATGACTCGACTCAAATTGAGGCTGAATACTCTTTGATCATCCCGGTTTCTCTGCAGCGGGCGCTTAAAACATCTCTCTTAATCTGAAACAAACTCCTGCTCACTACGACAGAAATTTTTCAAAGGTAGGAACCTGCCTTTAGCGAGTACTTCACTAAAACAATCCTCTAAAACGGACACAGGAGACATTTCTGCTATATCAGTATATTATTTCTCCTATAAAATAAAGCTTTCTAAAGCGGTTACTTAACCGACAACGTCTGGACAACCGGAAGACAGGTGTCTAACTAAAACCAACTTCTTCTTTAATGAAGACGGTCATACACATAAACAACTGTTTAGTACAGACCGATCTCTAACTAAAAACAAACAGATCTAATTAAAATGGTCACCTTTCTAAAAAACACCGAAAAAGCTGTCTAATACGGACAGCTCTCTAACTAAAGCCAAGCTTCTTTAATATAGACGGTCACCTTTGTAACATATATATACAGAAACAGCCGCTCTAACAAAACAAACCTCTCTTAGCGGTCACCAGTAGAACTTAATTAATACCGCTCGAATACAAACGGTTCTTTAAGTAAAACGAATACCTCTATAATACATGCAGATAGCTCTTAAGCGTTAAAAAAACATTCTAAAAATGCTGGGATACAATCCCCACAATTAACTAGCTAGGTTTCTCACGAGCAGACTCAAAAGTTCTGTATTTCATCCATTTTCAAAGAGAACAATGCCATTTTCACACGAGTCGAAGGGATTGCTCACATATCCAGCTCTCTTCCTGATCAAATCGCTGCAGTATCTTGCTGGCTGAGAAGTGGAGGCTGCTGCTGATCGTGTTGCTCGCTCATAAACATTTCCTCTGCTGCGTGATTTGCGTCGTTGTTAGGCAAGTCACCTTTGTAAAGATCGTGAAATCCTTTCTTGGTTCGATGCAACCTCTGCCCCAGTGCTGCGCAAACAGTTCTGGGCGCCTGAAACGACAAAAGTCTGCTAGTCTTCGCGACGCTTGACTAGTTTCTACAAAATGACTTATTTTCCTTCTCCTTGGTGAGTTATCAAGGGCAGGGCAGGAAATTACTTCGAAAACATTTTAAAAGGGACTAGGTTGGGCGAATGCCATCCCCAGGAAAAGAGGACAGCTGAGACTGGCATGGAAAAGACCAGTGGAAAAAGAATTGAGAGAGGCTGGCTGGGCCTAGAGCCAGATCCAACGGTGGGCAGCTGACAGGAGAATTGTCCAGAACACAGTAGTGACGGCATTATGTGTTACTTATGCACAGAGAAGATTAGTATGTGTGTATGCAGGATGCGCGATTCTAGGGCAGTTCCAATACTGCTAACTGTTCCGTCAACAACTAAACTGCAATATTACAAATCGCTTAAAACTGTAGAAGAAATCAAACGAACGAAACACAGAAAAGCCAAAAAGGAGAGTAAAATGACTTAATCAGTACAAAAAATATATGCCATCTACCTGCGCATCTCTAGACCTTATGTCTTTGCACGATGCATAAATCAATTCCAAGAGCAAGACAACCATCCCGACAGCCACGCCAACAGCGAGCGTAATGAATACTCCTGCCATGTCACTGAAGTGCAGCTGATCGCCACCTTCCTCGGCGGCCTCCTGGGCTGCCTGTGTCTCGGCGCCGCACACGCTGCGGCTTCTGAACCATTTCTCCGTCATGCGCTCTAAGAAGCCTTCCTGTTGCAGCTCAAGCATGGCCACACTAAAGTTGTGAGTGTAAGGTGAATGTCGAGGGAGAGCGAAACCGTAGTTAATGCTGCCAAATGGCCTGTAAGAAATGCCATAATCCCATCAGCGATACAAGCTATACTTGGAGAGTGCCTGGCAAGTGGCAAATTACTGCGTTTGCTGCATTGGAGGCGAGCCCATGATCATATAAATGGGTACCGGCGAACTTAATGCTGGGGGTAACCCCGCGATGGACTAGCATCCCGTCCAGGGGGGAGTAGAAATAGTCTCAGTCGCTTCATGCTACAGAAGCCGGGATAAGCTCCGGCCTGATGGGCTACTTAGGCTCGTATGCAAACTTAACCTTCACCTACCTTTCAATAAGAGTCAGTGTGTTGCACGGCTCACGCTGCACCTCATATTCTAGTACAGCGGAGTCCCAAATAAAAGCGTAATTTTCCGTTCTTCGCACTTTTTCAATCGCATATGTCGCATTTGGCTCCAGTGTTCGATGGCGCTCGATGAAATCCCAGAGCTTCTCATAGACTGGGAGCGAAGCCGATCTTCATAACAAGAGAGAAAGACAAGACTCAAAATTACAGTGGTTTCAACATGATATATAATCACAGTGGGAGGACATGATGGCCGTCGGTGAGTGAGTGCGTTTAATTCTGGATCGCGAGCTGCTTGGGTTCTAGCCCTGACCGGGGTCATTGTGCAAAACACATAACTTTCGCCGTCTCCCCCGTGAATCGCTGGAATACTGAATAAGTCACTATCTTTTTATCATAAGGCTGCGTAAAAAAAAAAAAAATCCAGGGGCGACATGCCATGGATTAGAATCCCACCCAGGGGGGAGTAGGGATACTCCTAGTCCAATCAAGCAATAGAGGTCGGAGTAAAGCGTTGGTAATGATGAATCAATTCTAGTCTCTTATCCCCTGGAATGGCAGGAGCTTGACCTAATTATTATTCCTCGTATTATTATCGTTCTCCTTTACTTGAGCATCTTTTCCAGCTGACCAGGAGCGGTTCCAAATTTCACCCTGTCCTGATTGGCCAGATCTTCGATGCTTTTGATTGGATGTTCGTACTTGTTGATCGTTAGGAACGCAGCCAGGTTAGCTGTGTATGTGGCACCAAATATGGAGATGGCGAACCACCTAGTGTCATAAGAAATAATGAGTTTAGGAGATTTCTCTACTTGATTTAACGGTAAAATAACTTTAGCCAAGGAGATAGCCTCCCAGCCTCCCAACGGGGAGGCGGGGAACTTCCGTATAAGAAGGACTCGCATGCCCGTCGGAAATTTGAATAAAACCCCTAATGTGGGCGTGGTTCGAGCATGCGTGGTTTGACCCCTAAAAGATACTATTTCATAATAGACAACAAGGATGGACTACAGTGACAGCGTTTTTTAATTATTCTTCACATGTAACCCTGAAAGATACCGAGACCACTAAAATTAGTGGTATTTTGTCCTGGACGCCGTTAGTGGGACCAAAATCCTTGATTTACACCCCTGAGTGAAACAAGAGCTTTTCATATGGGAGTTCCCCACCCGCCTCTCCCACTACAGGGGTACCCTGCTACGTACACGTTTTTGTGAGAAACAAGCCAAAAAACGTCAGTCTGCGTAGGAGCTACCTCTGAGAGGGAGATTCTTATTTCTGCAATAACTGGCCAAATTATCTTGCCTGCATACGTTCATTGCTCAAGAGATATGCTGGCTGAGTGTATGGAACGTTGGAATGACACATGATAGCTTGATCTTTCGCTCTGTCACTCGCGTGCGATTTGTCACTAAGATTTCTCTCTCATTCGCCGGGTGAATGTTATGGTTCAGAATGACTACTATTGTCACCTAGACGCAATAACAGCCAGAAATCTATGATTGACGCAGAGGAATTTTAAGCCCAAATTCACGAACACAAGAGGTATCTCACCAAGCGAGCGTTGTCGCTCTTCCAGAATGAGAGATTGGATGAAAACCATCTGGACCCTGCTCAAGATAAGAGGCAGCTGCTGCCCAGAATGAGTGAAAAAATGACAGCGTATTCTGTGCGTGAGCTTCTTCACTTGTGACTTCCGCTGATTGGACGACTCTTCCATAGTAGCCATACGGGCTCAAGCGGTCGTAGATCCATACCACAATTCCTACGATGACTGAGGAACTAATGATGGCAATCCATAAGGTTTTCTCAAAAGGATCTAAGAATCCCCAGGTATTAACTTTACTCCCCATATCTGTTTTCTTCATGATGATCCTGAATCCCAAGCTGTAGTAAGGCTGTGTAAAGTCCACGGCTTTTTCTCGTTCGGGGCTAATTGTCAATGTAGAGACGGCTAAAGAGGCTTTCTGTTGANGTGTTGTCATTTGGTCTTATGGAATTAGACAGTTGATAATTCGATAACTCCTTGTTGGTTTAGCGTGCAGTGCAGGCGTTATTTTTGAACGAAACGCTCGATAGACCGTGTTTTCGATGCCGCCATCTTGAATTGTAATTGGATGCTTGACCGGTAAAGGTTTCCCTCGCCCCAGCCCTGCACAGTTACCAAGTCCAAGGTGGCGACCTAATACGAAAATAGGCACTGCAGGCTACTGTTGGTTGCTCGTTTCAACTTACTATGATAGGAGCAGTTTCGCCAGATTTCTTCCATTCTTCGGTCACGCTGTCAAACAACTGACCACGACCCATCACGGGCATGCGCACACCAATTAACCCCTCTCTATAAGAAATGTCTTCCTCACCCTGAAAAAGGTGAATTAACTGTTTACAGACCTATTAGCTGAACCTACATTATTTATTGAATATAACATACCACAAAGATTAATCTTTTTTGGTTTCAGGGCGCTTATTATTTTTTTCAAGCTCAAGGGAAGGAAAGAATTGGAAACAGGGGCCAGGACGTTTACATCTAATTTTTGGAATAGATCTTAAACAAAAGAAAAATCTTCTGTTTGGAGGAATTAAGCTCCTAATAAAAACAACACGGATTCATCCTCAAAAAAAGAACTTGTTAAAATTTTACACGAAAGAACGGGCTACCATATGTACAAATACCTTGAAAGGGATTAGAGTTTGCTATTTTTAAGGCTTATTAACCAGGCGTGAGGTCAAGATGGCTGGATATATGTCAAAAACCCCTTTTTTGTGTGTGTTTATGGACCGAAACGGGGCCGCGGTTCATAAGGACCCAAAAAGAGAACGAGGCCAATATCCAGCCATCCTGACCTCACGCTTGGTCAATAAAGGATTTATTATATGAGTCGAGATAGAAAACACAGCAAAGAGGCGCAAAACATTCAATTCCATTGTCTCGTCCAAATGTTCCCAAATCAGCCCATTTCTTCCTTTATATGTTGAAGCTCGCCATTTTCTCTATTGAACAACAGTGTGTGCTGTACGTCTTTGCATCCAATTACATAGAAACAAATTAGAATGAGATGCCTCTACCATCCGAACCAAGAGAAAGTGTTGCAGAGATGTAGAGAAAGGGTAGCAAGAGAAAATGCAGATTCATTCATTTAATATTTTAGCGGGGAAAATTACTTCTACTTGAATAAAAAAAAAAACGGAGAAGAAATAATAGTTCTAATCATACGTGCATTGATAACGTAAAAACGTAAACAACAACTTCGCGGGGGGTCTCATGGGTGAAAACTTTAATCATCGCTACAAAGTTTGGTGCTTGTATCAAAAATCGCACAATTCAAGAGCTATGCCGCCTGACTAGAGTGAAACATCTTACCTTAGAACTGGCATGGTCGGTTAAGATCCAAACCCACTCTGTTATCATATCTAGTTGCTCCGCTTGTTGGAGCACTTGTGGTACAAAAGTAGCAGAACAGCTTAACAGTATGACGCGTGCGCCCTTCTCTCTCAGGCTCCACAGTTCTTTTGTAGCGTTAATCTTAGGGCTACCGAGAGTAACCGGAAAATGTTCGATGCCGAGGATCTCCCACTGTTTTTCTGTAGCACGTTCTTTGAATTCCATGAGAGCATTCATGTCTAAAATATGGGCGAGTAAAGGAAGAGCATGAGTGGGAGGAATTGCGCTACTGTAAGTAGGAAGCCAATTTTGCTGACATTGCATATATAGACTTAGTATCACCCAACTAGTGGACTAATGCAAATCCTGCATTTTGATTGGCTACGCTACTAGGGGACTATGGACTATTAGGAATGGACTATGGACTATTAGGAATAGTCCATCGAGCCTGACGCTTTCTTTCGTTTTATTCCCAAATAAATATTTCTTCAACTTGCATTTGCTAACTTTATTATTACCTTTTCTGTCCGACTAGTTG